GAGCCATAGTCCCCCAGCACCACCTTCTGAAATCAGCCGTTGAGATAGGAGCGGAACCACCGCCATGCGGTGCCTCCAACTCCCAATCCCGCTAGCCTATTCAGAAGGATACCATGGTCGATGGTATCGAAAGCCGCTGAGAGGTCCAGGAGAACTAACAGGGATGCACTCCCCCTGTCTCTCTCCCTGCACAGGTCATCATACAGGGCGACCAAGGCAGATTCAGTGCCATACCCGGATCTGAAGCCGGACTGAAATGGGTCCAGATAATCAGTTTCATCCAAGAGTGCTTGGAGTTGTCCTGCCACCACCCGCTCTAGCACCTTGCCCAGGAACGGGATGTTGGCCACCGGTATATAATTGGTGGCCACCTCCGGATCCAGGGATGCCTTCTTTAGGACTGGCCGGACTACCGCCTCCTTTCAAGGGGAAGGTACCCGGCCGTCTCTTAAAGAGGCGTTGACCACTTCCAGGATCCAAGTCACAATCCCATCCTTGGCTTTCTTAAGTAGCCAGGATGGGCATGGGTCTAGTAAGCAAGTGGTAGGACGTACTTGTCCAAGCACCTTGTCCACATCATCAGGCCGCAACAACTGAAATTCATCCATTAATTGTGGACTTAACGGCGTCGATGGCATCTCCCCAGTAGAGTCTGATCCAATAGCAGAGTCAAGCTCGTGGCGAATCTGAGTGATTTTCTCCCTGAAATGCTTGGCAAAGACGTCACAGCGGGCCTTCGAGGGTGGCACAAGATGTATCTTTGGGCCTGGATGTATCAGCCCCTGCACCACCCGAAAGAACTCCGCCGGACAGCATTGTGAGGAGGCAATGGAAACGGAGAGGAATTTGTTCTTCGCCATCCTCACCGCCACAGCATAGGCCCGATAATGGGCTCTTAAGTGTGTTTGATCAGATTCATCCCGTGATCTCCTCCACCTACGCTCTAGACATCTCCCAACCTGCTTCATCGCCCGTAATTCAGGCGTATACCACGGAGATGAACGGGCTCTGCCAGGCGGGAGAGGATGCTTGGGAGCAATCGTGTCAATAGCCCTGGTCATCTCCCCATTCCACAGTTCAACCAGGGCATCGACAGGAGCACCAGCCTTGTCAACCGGAAAATCCCCCAGAACTTTCAGGAAGCCATCAGGATCCATCCGGCTCTGGGGGCGGACCAATACAATTGGGTCCACACCCTTGCAGAGGGAAAGGCTGCTCTCGAGCTCAAACCTTATGAGGAATCTCCCCCTTGTCTTGCTCTTTAATGGGCTCTAAAAATTTCAAGATTTATTCAATAATACCGGAAAATCTTCACCTTCACCTAGCTCTTCCTCCTCAGAAAGAACCCCACTTCAGTAGAAGTTGTTGGATCTCTGGCAGGAAAATTAGCATGTGACTTCTTATGAAGAGGCAAACTTCTGTGCCATTAAGTCATCTTTGACTTATGATGATCATATGCTCTCCAAAATTTCCTGATTTTGCCAGTCCTGCTCAACTTTTGTGAACTCAAGGCTGTGACTTCCTTTATCTCACATTTCATCTTCATTTTCTGCCTTTGACTTTCCCTAGCAATATTGCCTTCTCCAGTGAATTTTGCCTTCTCATTATGAGATTACTGAATCCCTAAAAAGTAGTTTGTGGCCCCTTAAAAAGAGCCACACTTACTATAGCTCCCCACTACCCTGCACTCTGTATGTCTTCACAGACCTCTTCAAGTCACACATTGATTGTTTCAAGTTTCTTGGCTCAAGAGATCTCCTGAGTCATGTGACACACAATAAATTCTATGTTTGTAATAATGGCTGGTATGAGATCATTATGGGTGAAAGCACCCTCTTTAAGAGGGTAGGTTAATCAGACAAAGGAGAAGGGGAGAGGCAGATTTCCTGTCTTTTCTTAAGCCTCAATCACATGGAAGATTTCCTTGCCCTTTTCCCAGATCCTTCAACAGTATCTGTCAAATTCACCCACAAAAGTCAGGAGATAATGTCTTCTTGTCAGTGCTGGATAGTGCTCCCCCACACAAAACAACTCACTTCCTCACAGTGCCTCCCTGTCAAGCATTCTGTGACCCCTGGGCAGGGTGAATATGTGCCACCCTGGAATGACTGACCTGCACTGTGAGCACTCGTGTCATATGTGCATTTTTCCCGGGACTTGAACAAAGTATTAGCCAGTGGGGTAGTTCCACAACAATAGAAGAATTTTGCTTCTTGGTGTGCTATGACTGGGAGGCATGCCTCCACTTGTATCCATTCCAATCCCAGAGCCTATCAAGAAAAAACAGTTGAACTTCATTGAGGCCCTCTTCTGTGGAGTTAAACAGGACTGGAACTGTGAGGGGCTCTCTTCTTCACAAGGCTATTTTGCATAGCCCTGAGTACTGGAGCAAATATAATGTGGAATCCATGATGACACCCTCCCTTCCTGCAGGCAAACTGAACATTTCTAAAATATTACTATTAATACTTTACATGTCTATCAAACATAAACATTTAATTTTCATCTCATTAAAGAAGTGCTCTAGTCTACCCAGTAACTATCAATGTGAGTATTTAGGTCGTGTGAAGATAGGCTGAAGGGAACAAAAAGGAGCAACACTCACAAACTGCTGTGGCTTCTGGTTATAAGAAAACCCTATATTAGAACCTTATAAATGCAATCCTGTCTTCTAACTAAAATGATAAGCAGCGTGTGAAACAGGTATAATGTGACAAGGAGATGAAAGGCATAGTTATGAGAATGTACACAGCCCTATTTAGTAGTACAGTGATATGGTTTGGTTTGCACATTTGTGTAGGAAATATATGAAGCAGCAGCAAATGAAAATCTGATTCCAATCTGATGTAAAACAGACTTTTCCCTTGATATAGAATGTAGAACCATTTACTACATTCCTATTCCTGTCCAGAAGTTCTGGATTTAAAATCAGCTTCTACAGTTGTCTCTAACTGAGAAGCCAGGGACTGAGTTCAGAAGTATCCTGCCATCAGCTTGAAATCCTGCACCAATGTACTGTGTCAACTAACTTGTAAAACTTCCCTCAGTTTTTTTAAAAAATAGATTAAGATATAGCCTGTTATATGTGTGCACCAGCACATTTAAATAAAGAGTGTGAAGAGTCCCAGTAGAAAAGTGTCAGCATACAAGCAGGATAGCCTAAGTGGTGACAACCATAACCTCATGTATGATATGAGCATTGTTGAACCAACTGGAAACAGTAATTGCAGTAGATTCTGATTTTTCTGTGCCTGTGTGTGTGGAAAAGCATGCCAAGCAAGTCCAACATAGCTACAATAGACTTCAAAAGAGAAAATTTCTCTAACATGAGAAAACTAGTAAAAAGGAAGTAAAGAAGATTGAATGCTTTCAAAATGCTTGCACATTAACTCAAAATAATGTTAGAAGCTCAGCTAGTTTATATACAACAGGTTAGGAGAGGTAGCACTAAGTGCAAGAGTTTACCAGCATGGTTGATGAACATGCCAAAGAAGTTATTAGAGAAAAGGCAGCTGACTTCCTTTGGAAAATAGCAGTCTTGCCTAAATGAGGAGAAAAAATTGTGCAAAGAAAATGCAAGTAGACAAAAAGAGATGAAAAAAGCACATTGAGGACATTAACCAGATCAAGGACAACAATAAGCAACTATTTAAATATATAAGAAACAGGAAACTAGCTAGAGCAGCAGAGACCAACCTTTTTGGACCCATGTGAACTTTTGGAAATTTGAGAAACTTAATGGATGCCACCACAGAAAAGTTCCATGATGGAACTGGTCATCAAATAGTAGCCATGGATGCCTGGGCAGTCAAAAGTGGTATTCATGGAAGGGAGAGAAATAGCAAGGATAGAGGTTGGGAGGGAGAGGCAAAGGGGTGGAGGAGAGAGGAGTAAATGAGGCTAGTGGCTAGGAGAGGGGGAGAAAGAGTGAGATAAAAAGGTGGAAGAAGAAACAGTAAGGCTTGACTGGTAAGAAATCCAGGCCAGATAAAAGGAAATGTTTTGTCACATAATACAGAGTTAAATTATTGAATTTACTTCCACAGGATGTAGACTGGATTTGTATGATCAAGGAAGAATGGGAAGTAACAGTTCTTTTCTGTGCCCCTCACAGTTTGATCGCACACCACCTCATTCCCATAATTAATCACATTGCTTGTAGCTTACTGTGCTATCTGAACCCATGAAGTGTCTAGCAGTAGTGACTTCCAAACCACAGCTTAGTCTAAGATTTGGAATCCATGCACCTTCACCAGGTCTGGATCATCCAGCAACCCCGCCTAGCATGGGTAATTATGGAAATGAAGTGCATGCACGGAGTGGGAAAAAGAAGCAACTGTGTCTTCTTTTTCTTCCCCAGTCATGAAAACTTAGTTATAGTGAGTATCACCAATTTGGATGCCTTTTAAAAAAGTGCTGGGCACATTCATGGAAGATAAGGATGACAGCAACTCTAATCCTGACTGTAATATGCTGCCCTCACTATTGGAGGGTTATGTACACCAGATGATGAGGAACATGGTCAAAAGGTGATGTCTGTGGATTTCTCATGAGCAGCTGGTAAGCCACTGTGTGAAAAGAATGCTGGACTAGATGGACCCTGGTCTGACATTGTCTCCTAAGACGTTCAATCTTAATTTCACATGGAGAAAGCATGCACAAATATAGTAAGAAACAAGTAGGTGACTAGGGGATATTTAAAGCAGCAGGAGAAAATAATGATTAAAAAGTGGGAAAGGGATGGCTCAATTACTAATTCTACCCTGAAATTGTCAGTAGTAATATTATGGTGAAATCCAGCCATTTTCCTGGTAATATCCATTGTATTTTCTATCAATCTACCAAACAAGCAAGCAACAAACAAACAAGGAGGGATTATATTCTAAATCATGTCTAATAAATTGTGTTTTCCCATCAAAAGATGAAAGAAAACATTATGTGCATAAACAAAAATTGTTCAAGAGTTTAAATTAATCTAAAACAGACAATTGGATACATACCAGTTCAGATTTAAAATAGCCTATCGTGTTTTCATCCAGCTGGAAGTATCTTCTTTTCCAGTTCTTCATCTATATAACACAATCAAGAAGTTACTATAACTTAATCCCACTATATCTCTAAGGATCATAAAATATTCTGCTTTTTTCTAATGTTCTTGGGATCTGTCCTAAGAAGACTGCATTCTTTAGGGTAGCTCAGGTCTCTACAGTAACAGTTGGATGGGGGTAAGAAACCTTGATATACATTAGCTGAGAATGATTACAAATGAGGGACAAAGGAAAAAGACAGAAGAGCACAGAACTCTTGCAATTAAAAAGAGCTAAACTCAGTCTTATATCCAGGTATGACTTCCAGTCTTCCTTTACCTAAAAGGGGCAGTTACACATAGTTAACCAATGTATCATTTGCTTTTTTCCTTTTTAGCAAGAGCAGAAAGATTACCAATTTGACCTCCACACTGAAAAAGTTCCCCTCCCTGGTTTCTCCAAGCTGATTGACCCAGTCCAGCTTTATCTGATCATCAGCTGCTGCTGATGTAATCCCTCACATACTGTCTACCAACAGGGAAACACCAAAAAGCACTCTAATTCAAGGCCAATTCAAACTATATTGTTGCCAAGTTCAGGCAATGTGACACTGTTTCTATACTATTGTACCATTTCATATACCCAGGTTCATAACATAAACTGCTGCTCAATGCTGCATTTGCCTCCATGTTGCTATAAGCCACTGCTGCTGGGTGACATTCCACATAGTGAGACTAATATATACTAAAAGTTTACTGTAAGAGGCAATTTAAGACAAATGAAGCCTAGCTTTAAGAATTAATGAGCTGAAATATTTTGATCTAATAAAAGCCCAGAGATTTATAAACAAGAACCTGCCCTTAACTATGCACAAAGAACAATTCAGACTAACTTAATGTTTTATAGTATTTCAAAACCAGAAAACTTTCATGAGCTCTATTTCTCCGCAGAAATTTTCCCATTTCATTAGTAACTCTATAAATACCAATTGCAAACACTTACTAGGCAAACTTGGCATTTTCAAAGTTGTAGATTAATGGGTATCAGCATACCACAGATTGGCCTGTGGGTACCTACAATCTATGAATGTCAACAGAATCTTTTTTCACCATGGGTAGGCTAGCTATGGTTGATGGGAGTTGTGGTCCTCCCAATATTTTGGCCAGCAAGTTGCCCACCATTATTCTAGAGCATCAGAAGATTTTCCAAAGAGAGATGAACATTTCAGATTTAAATTACTTAATGCAAACCTACATCACTACATAAGGTAACATTATATAATTGTCTAAGAATAGTTATCAAGACACGCACAACTTGAGGTACCCACAAGTGTCAAACTCTGAGAACTGACAAAAAGCCCTTCTGTATCCAGCATTCATTCTTTACTTTCCCCAAGAATTTTCAAACTAAATTCTACCTGGCAAAGAGTTCTTGCTGTAGGATAATCATTTTCCTAGATGCTTACCACTGCTCCTTGTTTAACACAGTAGCCAGCTTTGATCACAGCATTATCTGGGGGATGTTTAGCAGAAAAGTAAGGAATGTGGCTTTGGGTCCGTTTCAAGTAATTTTTATCATTATCAGCACATTCATTTATCTCTTCTTTCTAGATAAAAGTAAACAATGGTTTAGAAGTTAGCTTAAAAATTTGTTATTAATTACTTAAGGAAAAATGTAGCTTCCCCTGACATAATTACACATTAAAATACAACTTGCATTTGGAGGCATTGCTTAAAACAGAGTATCTGATAACACAAGAACTAATTATACAGACATGCCTGTAGTTTATCTCACACTTGTTCCATATTCAAATAAATTACATACAATGTAATCCATGTTCACTAGAGGGGTGCGTTTGTGTGTGTGTAAACAAAATGTTTGACATCTTAAAAAGCTCCTTCAACAGGTTTTGAAATAAATAAAAGCATTTGCAACTCGCTACAAAAATGGAGAACAAATATGATGGCAATGTTTTCTGAAAAGCTGGAATGACATTTTTTTTAATAGTTGAGGTCAAAGATGAAATGTTTCACATTCCTAAGAGCCAGTGTCAAAGTTTAGGAACCCAGATTAACAAGTTCCTAATTTTTTTTTACCTCAAGTGACTGCACAGTTATGAGCAATGTTAAGAATTCTGAGTTCCCCTTATTTCAAGTGCTATTTATTTTATTTATTTTATTTTTTCGATTTATATCCTGCCTTTTTCCTACAAAGGGCTCAAGGCAGCTTACATCATTCTCCTCCTCCATCTTCTCCCCACAACAACAACCCTGTGAGGTAGGTTGGGCTGAGAGTCTGTGACTGGCCCAAAGTCACCCAGTTGGCTCCATGGCTGAGCGGGGACTAGAACCCAGATTGTCTGAGTCCCAGTCCCATGCTCTTAACCACTACACCACACTGACTCTTCCAGTGCTATAGTCTCTCTACACTCAAGTAGCTCATGTGAAACAACAGGACCACACTATGTATGTTTCATAGTGAATAGGTTGTGGAAGCAACAATTCTGACCCAGTCAGTTCCTCTTTTAAGCAGATACATGCTGAATCTTCTCGCTTAGAAGGGCTTCTCATTTTTTTCTCCCCATACCTATATGAACAGGTACCATTAATTTTTATTTATTAGTTATATTTTCAACCTATCATTAGAAAGTAGTGAAAGTTGCCAGTGTAGATGGCCTTAAAAGGGAATAGGACAAATTCAGGGAGGCTATCAATGGCTCCTAGCCTGCTATCTATGTGATACTTTCATTACCAGAGGTGACATGCCTGCATATACCTGTTGTTGGGAAGCATGAGCAGATGGAAGCCTTGTACCCATCCTGCTTGAAAGATCCTGTGGAAAGCTGATTTGCTACTGTGTCAGCAGTTTGCTGGACTGGATGGATCATTGGTATGATCGAGCAGGGCTTTTCTTATGCTCTAATTCAAGGTGTCTTACATAATCCTCCTCCTCTCCATTTTATTTTCACAACAACCCTATAAGGTAGGTTAGGATGAGAAACTGGCCCAGAGTTAGCCAGTGAATTTCTTGACTGAATGGACACTAGAACTTGATCTCTCAGGTCCCAGTCCAACACTATGTATGCCACACTGGGTCTACCATTATTAGAAGCAACTGATCACCAGGTTTTTCTGACTGTTATTGTTAATCCCTGCTAGGGGCAAATTTCTTTTCTTGGAACTAGATAACCTGCAACTCCAAATCAGCCACAAATTCATTCCACCAATTCTTTAAAAAGGGATAAGAGATGGAGATAGAACATTTGTATGTGCGTTTATATACATGCACACATGCACGTGTGTGTGCACGAGCATGTATTAAAGTTCCAGAGGACTGGAGGGTGGCGTCAGTGGTCCCAGTTTTCAAAAAGGGTAGTAGAAGGAACATGGGGAATTACAGACGAGTTAGCCTTACGTCCATTGTAGGAAAAACAATGGAAAGGCTCATAATAGTGCGAGATCTAGTAATCCTAGATAGGGGAGGGAGGCTGACAGCCACACAACACGGCTTCTGCAAAAACAGGTCCTGCCAGACAAACCTTGTGGAATTCTACAACAACGTTTCGAGGTGGCTAGATGGAGGGGGTGCAGTGGATGTGGTTTACCTAGATTTCAGCAAGGCCTTTGACAAAGTGCCCAATGATATCCTGAATGAGAAATTGAGGAGTTTTGAGATAGACAAATGCACTGTCTGATGGATTAGGGCACAGTTGACTGACAGAAAGCAGAGGGTAACCATTAGTGGGGAATCATCAGGATGATGGCCCGTGACAAGCAGGGTCCCCCAGGGCTCTGTCCTGGGGCTGATCCTGTTCAATCTTTTCATCAACAATATGAAAGAAGGGGTGAACAGTCTGCTGATCAAATTCGCAAACGATACCAAAATGGAGGCAGTGGCCACAACTGAGGAGCAGGTACTTCAGATCCAGAAGGATCTGGACAGACTATGGAAGTGGGCAGGAGATAATAGGATGGCGTACAATGTGGGTAAGTACAAGGTCTTGCACTTGGGGCATAGGAATGGGTGTCTAAGTACAGGTTAGGGGACAAGTGGCTGGAGAGCAGCACTTGTGAAAGGGACCTTGGGGTACTGGTTGACTGCAGGTTAAACATGAGTCAGCAGTGTGACGTGGCAGTCAAGAAGGTGAATGCCACCCTTGGTTGCATAGCCAGAACTGTGGCTTCTAGATCGAGAGAGGTATTACTGCCACTCTATATGACTCCAGTGTGCCTGCAACTGGAGTATTGTGTTCAGTTCTGGGTCCCTCATTACAGGAAGGATATAGCCAGATTAGAGTCAGTGCAGCGTAGGGACACAAGGATGGTGGCCGGATTGTAGGGAAAGCCATATGAGGCGAGACTGAGGGAACTGGGTCTTTTCAACCTGGAGGAGACTCCGAGGGGATCTGTTAGCAACATACAGGTATGTGAGGGGGTGTCACACGGAGGTGGGTAGAGACCTGTACTCCCCTGCAGAGGAGGGCAGGACGTGCTCCAACGGAGCCAAGCTCAGGTAGAGGCAGGTTGCTCACCTGTAACTGTCATTCTTCGAGTGGCCATCTGTGCATTCACACGTATGGGTTCTGCGCCTGTGCAGTGCCTCTGGCCAGAAAGATTCAAAAGCTTAACGGTTTTGGCAGGAACTCCGCACCCCTCCTCCTATGGTATAAAAGGGCGGAGTACCCACTATTTCCTCAGTCTACTGGAGACCAATTGTTTGCCCCCTCACGGGAGCAAGAGATATTGCAGGAAACCTGCTGAACCATATAGAAAGAAAGCACTAACGGGACCGGTATCAAGAAAGAAACGGTACCTTATAAAACCATTCACTGACACCGAGCGGGGCCGGCTGGTGGGTTGTGTGAATGCACAGATGGCCACTCAAAGAACGACAGTTACAGGTGAGCTACCTGCCTTTCTTTGTCGTGGCCTCTGTGCAGCACACATATGGGTGATTAGCAAGCTTACAAGACCCGAAGTTGGGCGGTGTCATCATTGAAGGAAAGAAGAAAGGACTGCCCGACCAAAGGAGCAGTCATGTCTGGCACGCACATCAAGGTGGTAATGCCTGATATGATAAAGGTGCAAGGAGTAGTCCAAGTGGCAGCCTTGTAATGTCCTGAATCGGAATGACAGTGGCAAAAGCAGAGGAGGTAGTTACAGCCCTCGTGGAATGCCCTCTGGGCATGACAAGTAAGTCAAGCTTGGCAAGCTGATACGCTAGCTTGATGGTCTGTACAATCCACTGTGAAAGCATCTGCGAACCAAAAGGGGAGCCTTTATTATAGTCCAAGTTAACAAACAGGCGGTTAGATTTACGGAATGACTCCGTGCAAGACTGGTAGAAGGCAAGGCAGCGATGAACGTCGAGAGAATGCAACGACCGTTCAATTGGTGTAGCGGGCGTAGGGAAAAAGGCCGGTAAGACAATGTCCTGGTTAATATGGAAAGGAGACACAACCTTGGG